GAAAGTTTATGCTATACATCTCTGATCTACTTAATCTATACAGTGCAGATCTATCCTGTCTTCTTTAGTAGAATAAAGTCATGGAGCAGCTATCATCCTATCTGCATACAGAAATATCAAAAGTGATAATGAAAATACTTCAAAGGATGGCTACCTGTACCAGAGAATGGATTATTGCAGATTCTTTCTATTACAATACTTGATGCATGTTTTCTTCCTCTCTCCTAATATTTATGATATCTCCCAAAATGTGATCAGAAAACAAACAGCACCCATGTCTATCGACAGCTCTGCAGTGCTCCAATCTTGTTGTCTTCAGAGAGCTATTGAGGCCCCTAGGCTCCTTTAAGTAAGGAATGCATCTGAGGAGATTTCCTGTCGATTAGGAAAGGTGAGTGATGGAGATGAGAGAACATTACAAATGATTGCAGGAAACAGATATAATTATCTCTCCTAGTTTCCCACAACAACAACAGTTACCTGGGGCACACCAGACATTTTACGTCATGTAGCAACTAATTAGTGCCGACCGTTGGTGCAAATTTCAGTGTTCTGGATACTGACAGCAGCTGCAGCATATACAAAGATCAGCCCTGGATCATATTATTTCTGCCCACTGGCTCTCTTTTACATTTAGTTTGTAATTCAAAGTTGTACCACTTCAAAGAGTTTGACCTTGTAATGTGTCATACAGCTACAATACACTGCAAAAAATGCAATGGGTTTTGGGTTTACACTAAGATGGAAAGAGGGAAGGGAAATATGTTCAGCGATTTAGTAGTGTTAAAGTGATGGCGTTCTGATGGCCCAAGAATTATGTGAGAGAGAAGAATTTCTTTGGATGATATCTTTTATTGGACCAACTGCATAGCTGAGATAGAGTTAAACAAGCTTTTGAATACAGGACGTTCTTCAGGTCTGAGGGGAAAATCAAGCAGCACAGAGATAGTAAAAAAACAGTTTGTAGAGCTGTGAAATGTGAGGGGGGAGAGAAATTCCCAGGTTTCAGATAAAAATTAGCAGAAGAAAAGTAGCTGATTACTGAGAAATCAAACCTATCAAAAGAGAGGAGGGTCATTGTCACTTTTCCTGTGTAGGAAGAATCCAGAAACCAGGAATCAAGACCTAGGAAGACCAATACTGCCTTTATGGCACATTATAGTCTACCTGATGCCTCCTACTTCCCTGTTTTCCATTATGTTCAGTTGACCAGAGGTCAGAAACAGTTGAGCATGCCAGAGAGTGGGGTGTCCCATTTTCAAACTAGAGAAATATGAGTACTATAATTTAGTCATATAAAGGGAAATAGGATTCAGCTCTTTCTCTCTCTATGCCTTCGTTTCCCCTCCAAAGTATTTTGTTCATCTAATTTAATCATATCTTAAGATTTTCAACACAACAATTGTCTCTTATGTTTGCAGTGCCTAGCACAGTGTAGCTCTGAATTGAGTTGAGGCCCCTGGCTGCTACCATAACACAAACAATCATAATTATATTATAGGAAAAAATGAAACTGCAAGGACAGCATAAAGTAAACTGAATTTAATATCAAAGCTAATGGAGGCCTCTGTGCTGTTCATATTTATTCATCTTCCTATTTAATTACATTAAAGAAACACCCCTAGATTCCAAAATGCATCCAATACAGTTGTGACATTTTCTCTAGACAGCAGCATAATACAGAAACTGAGCTATAAAATTTAGCTGTAGTTTGCCTCAGAGTAAACAGTATTTATAGCAAGGCTTTTGATACGGTCTCCCACAACATTTTCACAGGCAAGTTAACGAAGTACAGGCTGGATGAATGGTGATTAGAAAACTGGCTGGAGCATCAGGCTTAGGGGTAGTAATCAATAGCTTGATGTCTAGTTGGCAGTGAGTATCAAGTGGACTGCCCCACGGGTTGGTCCTAGGCTGGGTTTTGTTTAATATCTTCATCAACAACCTGGAAGATGACATAGAGTACATCCTCAGCAAGTTTGCAGATGACATCAAGCTGGTGGGGAGTAGAAGATATGCTACAGGGTAGGGCTAGGATTCAGAGTGACCTAGATAAATAGGAGGATTGGGCCAAAAGGAATATCATGAGGTTCAACAAAGACAAGTGCAGTCCTGCACTTAGGAAGGAAAAATCCCATGTACCAGTCCAGACTGAGAGCTGACTGGCTGGGCAGCAGCTCTGCAGAAAAGGACCCGGGGGTTACAGAGGACAATAAGCTGCACATGAGCCAACAGCATACCCTTTTTGCCAAGGGCTAGGGACAGAAGTTACACATAAACTGGTATAAGTGATCAGAAACTGGTTAAAATCTGTAACAGAACAGTGCATATAAATCAGTTTCAAAATGGCTGGAACTGGTTTAAGATAAACCTCATTGAATGCAGTATCAGGTTTAATTGATTTTGGTCAAATTAGTTCTTGAAACTTCTGTCCCAGACCCCTTCCTGGTTCAAATTAAATCATAGTTCCCCAGCATCCCAGAATGCTTTGCAGCCCTTGGCTGGACTGTCCTGTCTGCTCCAGAGAGCAGGGCTGGCCCTGCCCCTCTGTTCCCTAGCTGGAGGGGGAAGGAGGAAGCAAGACCAGCTGAGGGTGCAGCCCAATCTGCAGAGGGAGGAGCAAACTGTGCCCCCCCCAGCAAACCCAGGCTGGGATCCCGTGCCAGACAGGGGCGTTAAAACACCCCTTCCCCTGATCAAACATTGCTGGGTGTGACTGTGGACTACAGATCCCAGAGGCACCTGGAAGCAGGAAGAGGAAGTGATGAGCAACCCTGCAGAGTCCTGTTACTGTGATTTTGGACTGCAAATCCCAGAGACCTTGGGGACAGCAGAAGGAGGAATCAAACACACAGCCCATACTGGCTATGTGCCAGAGAGCTGCGCTTTAATGTTCCCTGGCTTTTGGCTTGAGCCACTGCAGGTATGTGGCTGCATTTCCTGAATCAAAGGTAAATGTCTGTTCTCTTCTGTTTCAGTTAAACCTTTGCAGCTTAGTCTAAGCTGCAAAGAGAGAATCGATTCAACCTTGGGCTTTTTGACTGTCTGTACTTAACCAAGGAGGCTAATGGTATACTGAGCTGCATTGGTATGAGTGTTGCCAGCAGGTCAAGGGAAGTGATTATTCCCCTCTATTCAGCACTGGTGAGGCCAGATCTGGAGTACTGTGTTCAGTTTTGGGGGCCCTACTGTGGGAATACTCTCTTTAAGAGGACATCTAGAGCTGCTTGCTTTTTGCTTAGGACTGGCTGGGATTGCAGGGAGAGACAAACCTGAGTTGTAGCTGTTTTAAAGAGTTGTTTGAAAAACATTTCTAGAGTCTTTCTTAAAAATAATGAACAGCATTTGCTCTTATTAAGGTCTTCTTCTTAACAGCACTCATCATTACACCCACTACAGGAATGATGTGGACAAATTGGCGAGAGTCTAGTAGAGGACAATGAAAATGGTACAGGGGCTGAGGCACATGACTTATGAGGAGACACTGGGGAAACTGTCTCCCCCCAGTGTCTGCTTATTTAGTCTACAGTAGAGAAGACTGAGGGGGGATTTAATAGCAGCCTTCAACTACCTGAAGGGGGGGCTGAAAGAAGATGGAGCAGAACTGTTCTCAGTGGTGGCAGATGACAGAACAAGGGGCGATGGGCTCTAGCTGCAGCAAGGGAAGTTTAGGTGAGATATTTGGAAGAACTTTTTCACTAGGAGGGTGGCAAAGCACTGGAACAGGTTACCCATAAAAGTGGTGGAATCTACATCCTTGGAGGTTTTTTAAACCAATAGTGTGCCAATAGTGGCTAGACAAAGCCCTGGCTGGGATGATCTAGTGGGAGTCAGTCCTGCTTTGAGCAGGGGATTAGACTAGAGGTGACCTCTTGAGGTCCCTTCCAACCCTCATTTTCTGTGATTCTTTGACTCTGAAAGCATAATTCTCTGGAAATAGAAACTCTGTTTTTCAAAGATTTATTTTAAAATAATAATCAATATTTTTAAAAAACTTGATTTCAGCCATTTAAAATAGGATTGGAGGGGGGAGGGATAATATAAGAAGGAAATGAAGGCAAAAAATATTGCCTATTTTTAACCGCAGAAATAAAGATGTGTATTAACTCTATACTGATTACAGTTTTGTGGTGCTTTGTCAAGTCCTGCAGATAAGTTTAACCGGTAAACGGTTTTTATTTTTATTTTTCATTCTGTCACCATGGTAACAAACATTTGAGGGTCTAATCCTGAGAGATATCAAGCACCTCCATGGCTTGTTGGTTTCTAAAACAGATTAGATATTTGAGACACATTTTAGGATCAGGATCACCATTTCTATCAATTTTTCATGTGGTAGAGGAAATTACCTTGACGTCACTCCTCAGAAGGGATTGTGAAAACAGACATTAAGCACACTGAGGCCCAATTTTTCCATTATATATGCATGTAACAACTACTTACAGTGTAACTCAGTATAGCCCACACAATGTTTTAAAACCCTACTTTAGATCATTTGGTCACCTGGAGTCAGAAGTAAAACAAGTGTCATTAATGAAGTGTTGGGAAGGTGAATTCCCTATTCATTGACTGCCAATTCCTTCAGTGCTTTCTCATTGCTAAAAAGCATAGCTTGGGGTCAAATCTTGGTGATAACAACTAAAGAAATTTCCCTACATAATTTCTGAATATTCCCCAAGGGATTCCCTTTTGTCTTTGCTGATTTCATTGACCTCAACCTGTTGATCCAATTTAGCACCCTGTAGCTCCTTTCTCTCTGAATTGATCTTGGTTTCAGAATATGAAGAGGATAGTTATGTCAGTAGTTAAGCAGGCAGTTTACATTTTTGCAGGCATCAACAACATAACAGAACAAGGAGCAACAGTCTCAAGTTGCAGCAAAGGAAGTTTAGGTTAGATATTAGGAATAATTTTCTCACTTGGAGGGTAGTAACTGGAACAGGTTACCCAGACAGGTGGTGGAAGCTCCATCCTTGGAGGTTTTCAAGACTCAGCTAGACAAAGCTGTGGCTGGGATGATCTAGTTGGCAATGGTCCTGCTTTGAGCAGGAGGTTAGACTAGATGACCTCCTGAGGTCCCTTCCAACTCTATTTATCCATGATTCTGTACCCAGTTGTTTCCATATCTGATTAGGCCTAAACTTGTGGTACCTTTGCAAATAGCTACTTTCAGGCTTTTCGGTTCATTGCCAGCTCTGTGGTGATGCCAGTTCTGCATGTGAAATGTAATATCAAGGCCTGTTGCCCAGACCCATATGGATTTGAATGTCATTGTGTAGTGGAGGATGCACTTCGGACAGGACACCCAATGAAAATCTTATAATTAGCTTCCCAGTAGCCAGCTTCCAGTGGGAGGATCTTGGCTACATGCTTATTTTATGAAAATTGGGGCTCCTCCCTAGCTTACTCCTGTGGCCATTGGCTAAGGGCAAGTGAGACTTGGGGGCATCCAAAGCCCAAGCACTTTTGGCTTGGGCCCGCATGTAGGATGCCCACCAATGCATCTGGGAGTATCTGAAGCCCCTGGCTGAAGAGTCTGTGGTGGAGGATACTTGCCAGTTGTAGCACCACATATGGTGTTCGAATGATTGAGTTTTGCTCAGTTGAGAGGATTCAGAAGTGATTTGGCTAATTTGAACTAGAATATGAAAAAATTTCCCCCCCAAAATGAACTTAAATCTAACTAGTATATTATAGTATATGATCCACAGTTTCCACATACAGGCAAATTCTACTTTCAACAGTACTTGGATTGATTAATCCTGGGTTTTTTTTGTTTGTTTGTTTGGGGGGGTTTTGTTGTTTTTTTGTGTGTGTGATTTAACAATTTAATTCAATCTCTAAGACACGTACAGCAAATCCTAAGAAGCGCACATGTACAGGGGTATTTGTTTCCCTTGAAACAATTCCACTCTCCGGCACATGGCAAAGTGACCCAGGTGGGGTACGGGAGGCTCAGACCAGCACCTGTGCTAGCCCCAGCTACCTTACCTAGGATCCTTGGGGACTCCCTGGGCAGCAGCAGCACCAAGTTGGCTGCTCAGAGCATGGCTTTGGCTGCCCAAGCTCTAGTTCCTGGCTGCACATGCCACTGCCACATGTGTCACGCTGCTTTATTTAGTGATGGATTTTTTTTAGCACCGGGATCTCCCAGTGTCATAAAACCCCACCACACTACAAATTAGCAGCTCAGGAAATGGGTGCACATGTACCGCATGTCATTTGCAGTGCTTTACTTTGCTTTGAGGCACTGCAAACCGCACATGCACACATGGCAGAATGCACCCCTAGGTGGCACTTATGCCTCTTTTAGGGATCTCAGTCATTAAATTCAATCCTATGCCATCCCACTCAACTAGTTTTGGACTACCTGATATGTTATGAAGTGATCCAATACTAGGGTTGCTATATGTCCAAGTTCTCCCACACATGTCCTTTCTTTGGGTCCTCCCATCTCTGTCTGGGCAGTTTTTTAAAATATCAGAAAATGTCCAGGATTTTTCCCTGCCTTGTCCCAGCAAGGAGCTGCTTGGGGCTCAGGGCAGTAGGGAAAGGTGATTGGAGGCAGGGTGTTACATGCTGTGCATGCAGGCCTGGTAGCTGAAGGCAGGTAAGCGTGTGTGTGTGGGTGTGTGTATGTGTCTGTGCATGCCTGCCAGCACTGGGACTGCAGCAGGGTGAGAGAAGGGGGTGGAGGGTTCTTCAGGGGAAGTAGGGAGCTGCTTGGGTAGAAGGGCAGGGGGGCAGGTAGCTCTGGGTTGGGAGTGGGGGGCACTGGCAAGGCTGGGGGACAGGGGACTGGAGTATGGGGTATCAGCAGGGACAGGGGCTGTGGGTTGGGAGTGAAGGGCACCAGCATGGTTTTGGGGGGCAGGGTACTGTGGGTCAGAAGTGAGGGGAAGCAGCAGGGCTGGGGGGGCCTGTGGCTTGGGAGTGAGGGGCAGGGCATGGGCATATCACTTCCCTCCACAATCATATACTCTGTCCCTCCCCGCAGGTGTCCTCTTTTTAGTTACCACCCTACTATACAATTAAACACTGAGTCTGAATATTGGCTATGAAAATGGCTGAAATCAGCTACTGGTTCAGAGCTCAGCAGTGAACTTTCAGCAGCAGTAGAGGGCAGAAGAAAAGACCCTAACACTGCCAAGGTAATGGCAATAGTGCCAGAAAGCAAGAATGGATTGAATGTCCATAAGGATAAGTCTTTTTTCCCCTTCTCTACCTGACAATAGTCTGCGTGGCAGAGGTGAAGAGTATGAGGACAGTCTGGCTACTTCACTGCTACCTCATTCTGTTGAGTGGGGAAAGGAAGGTCCTTAGACTTCACAGCCTTCCTGAGACCCTTGAAGAAAGCTTCCTCACAAAGGGGAATCAGTCTCTCCTATCTTAAGGAAAACAAGCACTGTATTGTGTAAAACCAAAGACTTAATGCAATAAGTAACAGCTATTTCAAGTGTAACCTGGGCGGTAATCCAAGATGTACCCCCTCTCCAATTGAAGGGATCAGAGCAGGTGCACAAGTGCTGTGGGAGGTGTAGGGACCCTCCTTCCCCTATAGAGCAGAGCCAGACCACCAGTGGAGACTTAACCATATACTTTTTAATGAGAAAAACAGTAGTAGGAACATAACATGTATAAACCAGGTAGTATAGGGAACACTACAACACCCCGATAGGGCAGGCTTCAATAAAGATTAGGCATTTACAATCGTAGACATATTCATCCAGTTGACAAAAGACAGGTTTAACAAAATATAAAACACAAACAGATGAACAAACAATGCTGGTTGGCGAAATATAAAATGCACAAAATAACAAGAAATATAGGGCCTAGGTACCTGGAGCAGGGAAACACAATGACCCCTTTTCCACTGCAACAAGGATTTCTCCCTGTCATTTCACTCACTCTATTTCATCCCAGATGGGACTTGAAATCAAATCTCCCACATGGCAGGCAGTAATTTTACCACACAGCCACCAATGCTGATACTGCCCCCTGCTGCCAGGGTGTTTTATCTTCCAGGTGCCCCTGCCTCACATCCAGCTTCCTGGCCTCTTGCTGGAGGAGCTGGAAGCAGAGCTGGGAACCTCTCAGGTCGCTGCTCAGATCCTTGCTGGGGCTGGGGAGCCTCTCCTGCTGGCTGCAGCCTCTCATACGGGTTCCTACAGCCCAGTGGGGAGCCTTTCCTGCCAGCCGCACACTGCGCTGCTGAGGGTCCAACTGCTGCCTGCAGGTCCTGCTCCTTCAGGCTCTTCTGGGGCAACTGCTCCTGCCCTGCTGGCCCAGCTCTTGCCAGCTCTTTGAAACTTCTTCCTTATGGTCCCTCACTGGTCTCCCCTGACTCAGATGCACTTCCCCTTTTATCCCCCTCCAGGTGACCCAAGGGGTCAATCAGGGGACATGGAGGGTGAGTCTGTGGGGCCTGATGGGTGAGGAAAGGGAATTCCAAGCCCTCCAATCATCTTTTACCCTTTCAAACCCCCGGGCAAATCATTACCAGCAAGCCTGTGACACAAGTCAGAGCTGTCTGATAAAAGCTGGCTAAAGGGCAAGATTAAATGAGGAGCTGTTGCCCAAGTTCATCAGCTAGAAACCCTTATGGACAGGGGAGAGTGAAACTGGACATCAGGGTGCCTATACCTCCAATTGTTTGCCAAAAGGCAGGCAGTTTTAATTAGGGTTACTATACATCTGAGTTTTCCCAAACATGTCCTCTTTTTAGATCTTCCAATCTTGGTCTGGGTGATTTTTTAAAATATGACTAAATGTCCAGGATTTTTATCAGCTCAGCTTCAAAGTTTTTCCTAGCACTTCCTGGTTTGCCCCAAAGGGCTGCTTGGGGCTTGGGGCTTGGGGCTCAGGGCAGAGCAATTGGAGGCAGAGTGCACACACACATGATAGGTGTGTAGCCAGGCACAGGGGTGGGAGCAGCCCGATAGCTGGATACAGGTAAGTCTGTGTGGGAAGGGTGTATGGCGGAGTGTGTG